CATCCTTATCATGATTCTTCAATTTGTTGTATTGTTCTGGTGTCGCTGGTCACTATCAGTACACACGGTGGTGATGTGTCACACATATACGGATATGATTATTCAAACAATCGTTCGATGTGACTAAACTCATAGGCAGGTTCGCCTGGTGAAAAAAACCTGAAAACGAATGCAGCGACCACATTTTATTACTATTTATGCTTGCTAGCAGTAGATATATGCAAAAAAAAACATGAGTGTTTAATAACCCTTTAAGCGCTCGGTTCAGGGGCTCAGTGTTTGACTTGCGTGCCAGGGCCTGCTTAAGAAATAGTTTAGACCAGGGATGGGCAACTCCGGCCCTCCAGCTGGGCTTTAACTACAAATGCCAACATGCCCTGTCTCTGAGAGTCATGCCTGTGGCTGTCAGTCTTGCAATACCTCATGGGACTTGTAGTTGAATAAAAGCTGGAGGGCCGGAGCAGCCCACCCCTACACTAGGAACCCTCACTACAAAGCAACTGTTGGTGTAGGCATGGGCGTATTTACCGCGAGGCAAACTAGGCGTTTGCCTAGGGCGGCACCTTCCTGGGGGGCGGCCGTAGTCAAACACCTTGTTCAAACGCCGTAGTCAAACGCCTATGTTGTGAAGAGGAGGGGCGTGCCGGAGCCCATCTGTGTGTAGGAGTAGAGGGCGGCTTGCCTGCTTGTGAAGAGGGTGGGAGGACGGATGGAGCCGGACAGCGCAGCCGGCGGATGGGATCGTGACTGCAGCCAGCGGCCACATAATCGATCTTACTGCTTCCTGGGTCACAGAGCCGCTGTGACAGAACTTTTTGCTCGTCTCAGTGAGCTTCATTCTTCATTATCTTCTAGGATTACATTGTATCTGGGGGGTTTCTGAGGATTTAATTGATTTTGTTCATTGTATCTTCTTGTATTCATGATTTTCTGTATATATTTTATCAGTCTCTTATATGGGAAATTACTTTTACAATAAGATTTCTATGTATTAGATGGGATCTTAACTGCTAATTTGATTTTAGTATATTCAATTGAATTGATTTTAGCATTCTTGCTAAGGCTGGGCACACACCTTACAACCATCGCAAGACTTCTGTCTTGCGATGGTTGTAAGGTACTTAAGCTTTTTTTTTATTTTTTTTCAACCAATGTGTCTCTTAATTACTGCAAGGAATTAATTTCTTTTTTTCAACACAATCTTTTTGAACCGGCTATTTTTAGTTTTATGCATTGTTTTCCTTTGTCTTGTCTCAGTCCTGAGGAAGGGGGATGCGGGTTTGGACCCCCGAAATGCATTGGCTGTAATCTATTGAGCTTTTCTCAAGAGCAATAAATCCAGACTGGACTAATCATGTGACTTGCTCACGCTTCGGGGGAACTTGCACATTTTTCCTGGCCTGCGACTCTATGAAACATGGATTCAACTGAGAAAGACATTTGATGAACGGACGCCTTACCTGCGCAGACTTTCTTTTTTGTCATCTCTGGTCAGGCAGCTGTCCAGATGCTTGTTGATATATTGCTCCGGAATGCCAACGCCACATACTGGGCACTCCACTGGAAGACAAAAGCAGAGAGAGACGCATGCAGTGAAAATGGAACAAAAGGTGTTTCAGGTCACAACCAAAACCTTGTATTAGGTGCGTCTAGTGTACATTTATGTTTGTGTCCCTTACAATGCTGCTTTGGCACACAGGCAGTCCCCGACTTACGAACGCCCGACTTACGTACAACCCATACGTACGAACAGAGGTCCGAGACTGCAGCCACTGTACCGCACAGCGTTCCACCAGTAACGGTGTTCGTGTCGACGATCGCAGACAAGTAAGTGTCTGGATTGTAGTACTCTACGTCCTGCAGGAAGTTGTTAGTGAGTGCCCCGCCTCTTCTTCCATAGTTACATAGTATTTGAGGTTGAATAAAGACATTAGTCCAACGGGTCTTGTACTGAACAGGAAGTTGGCTCTGACTGTCGTTACCCCTGTCATAACCCTGTATGTACTGTACAGTGTACTGAACACTTTTATTTGTCTTCCTTGTCTACTTGTTTGGGTGTAACAATGCCAAAAAACAAATCCGATACAAATGCTGGCCCAGCTGTCCAAAGTAAAAAATGTTTTTTTTTGGCTGGAGTTACACCTAAAACATTTACCTGTTCCAACTTACATACAAATTCAGCTTAAGAATGAACCTACAGTCCCTATCTTGTTCGTAACTTGGGGACCGCCTGAACTGTGCTGAGGCTGTGATTATTTCTGGAAATGACACATCCCGGATCTCTGTGTGCTTTCCAAACACCTCTCCTGCCCTCTCTTCTTGTCTCGGTTTATCAGAGTTGGGTATGATGTACACTCGGGAGGTAAAGGTAAGGCCTGGTTCACACCTGTGCATTTTACAGCGTGCGTGCGGGGGGAGGGACTGAGGGAGCTGCGGCCGGTCTTCACAAGTAAAAATCAATTATATGTGCAGCTACCCCCGAGTAAGACCTAGCGCTATCTTCAGGGATTTCTGTAATAGAAGACCTACAACCGAACTAGGGTCTTATTTTCGGGGTAGGTCTTATATTACAGAAATTCCTGAAGATAACGCTTTCGGGGAAACACGGTACTTCCAAGTATGTTCTCTGAAACGGGAGGGAGTGCATACGGGCTTGACGGCCCGATTCCGACGGGTCTTGGTTACCTGTCGTTAGTCAGGAGAGAGGCGTTTTGTCACTCCCCCTGTCGACCTGTTCCTGATAGGCCACCTGTTGCTTTGATGAGGCAGTGGACGTGTCTTTTGGCCGTCAGCTCACTCCTGTTAGTTCGGGCGGGCGTACAAGGATTGCCTCTTACAATTTGATAGGTTTAGCGGTCCCATGTGAACGAACTCAAGGTCGGCCGCGATTGGTTACATTTCAATTCTTAAGAGCCTGTTAGAGATAGGGGTACTGCAGGATCTGACGAAAGGGGCTTGGCCCCTGAAACGCATCAACTGGAGGAAGTTTCGCGTGTAGATGGCTTCAGCTCGTCACTAGCACTTCTTAGCCTCTCGTCACAAGAACTTCTTAGCCTCTCGTCACTAGCACTTCTTAGCCTCTCGTCACTAGCACTTCTTAGCCTCTCGTCACTAGCACTTCTTAGCCTCTCGTCACTAGCACGTCTTAGCCTCTCGTCACTAGCACGTCTTAGCCTCTCGTCACTAGCACTTCTTAGCCTCATTTCGTTCATCCATCTGGTTTCATCCTGAGATCTTTACACGCTCGTTTTTATTGGCTGTTTGTAAGTACCTTTTCAGCTGTCATTTGAACATAGAATAAATCGGTTTTGCACTATGGAGGCGCTCCTTTTGCTTTTCTCATATCAGATATCCAGGTTCCCCTGACCGCGAGGCGCTGCCCCCTGTGCCTCTGGAGTTTCTCTCAGGAGCAGTTACTTATGGCGCCAGTGAATATTTTTCGTATTACTATCAGGTAGAAGGCGATACACGGAATGAGCTCTCCTCAATTAATGCCTGTGTGCCGTGATTGCAGCAGAAGGGACCTGTCACATCCGATTTGGATGATGTATCAATTCTCTGCATTCTCTATTATTTACCGCTTGGATTTATTGATCCGGAATTACAAGTATATTGCCTTTCCTGCCCGCGCATACAAAGAGGTCCCCGGGTCAAATAAATGACATTCCAATATAGTTGTGCTTTATTCGGGAGATGCGTTTTGTGTTCCGGCATTTCACTAAAGAATGTTTTGTTCTGACATTGACAGATCACTTGCTTTTGGTTAATATTTTCCTCATTGTATTTCATTCACAGAGAAGTACTCCCTCTCCTGCAGGGGTAGGCAACCTCAGAATGCCAGGGCTGTTTAGGAACTACAACTCCCATCAGGTATTGCAAGAACGATAGCCACAGGCATGACTCCCAGAGACATGATGAGATTTGTATTTCCACCACAGCTCAAGTGCTGAGGTTGCCTACCCCTGCTATAGTGGAAGAGGATTAGCATCCCTGCTTAAAGTAAAACTGTACGTAGGTTTACTTCAAAAAGCTAAACTCCGGGGACAAAAACATTTATTGAAGTACATTGCTTAATAGCCACAAAAGGATATAAATCCGCCTTGCCAAAGTAGCAGTGCAATCGAGAACAAAAAAACATAGCAGGATCTAGAAAGACACTTACACTTTATGGAGACCTGAGATAGAGATGTAGATGGTTCCTGTGAAGCAGAATACTCGGGTACAGAGTCCTCCGGTTCCTGTTTGATTTTCTTAGCAGATATGGGCTCGGCAGGCAGGTTGGAGTCGAGTGACTCCTCAATGGTGATGTCTAACGTTCCTTTGGACCTCCCCGCATTTTTCACCAGAAACCTTTCCATTGATGACCCCTCCTGCTTGATCTTCTTCCCGGAACATCCCTTTGCAAGTTTGCCCTTCAGAGGATTCTGCGAAGATGACGGAGGAGAACCCGCGTGCTGGGACAGATGCTTCCTGAAAGCAGTGACAGATTTGTTTACTTCTCCGACAATCTAACACGTTTATTTAATCATCATACACACACACACACATATGTAAAGCTTCTTTTCTGGAAAGGTTTCCCTTCGACTAAATTTGAAGAGGTCCTAATCTTGGCAGAGAGACAAGATCAGGTTAATTTATGTGGCTACTATTGGCCTAATGCAGACTCAGATCAACCCATAAAGGCCACAAAAGTCCAAGGTATGATCTTTCTGCTTGGGTTTGACTTTTCATTTCCCCAACGTATGCACTCAGCTCATGACATACATTTGTGATTGCATGGCCTACCCAGTTTAGTATTGCCCATGATATTTTTTTTATTTGCACCAACTTTAAATTTTTTAGGACAAGCTTTTGGAGGTCCACCACCTTCTCTGTCCAAGCAGGACATGCAAGTGCACATAAAGAGAGTATATATCGTTGACACAAGGAGAGCCTTCTGCAATTTTTCTATCACGTTTGAAAGCCTATCATCTGATATGATCATTCTTTCAATGTATAAGGCCTCATTTATTGCGTGCAGCCGCCTGTGCTTCCCTATGAGAGGATGCGGCTGCACATGGCTACACGTTGACCTGAACCTGCACAGTGAGTGGCCAAGTGTAGGCACCCGGACCTGCACATTCAGGTCAGCTTGTAGCCACATCCACTCCTAGGGATGTAGAGATGACTCCACACAATTACATGCTGCACCGGTCCCTCCCAGGAGCAAATTATCTACAAAGCAATCTAGGCAGGAGTCCAGGGCTCTGTGGTTGGCCAGGGGACTAAGCTAGAATCTTCATGCTCCTGTAGTAAGCTAAAAAGAACTTTCAGCTGCTCGGTGCTTGGCAAGAACCCTGGATCCTAGGCCAAAGCTGAAGACAAAAGCCAGAACCTCTATGGCCAGTAAAACCTCTGGCATATAAATGACATAGGGTGGAGTTTACAGCAACTCTGTACTCCTGAAAAGCTGGCCATTCAAAAGTAGAATTTTGCCAGAAACATTTTTCGGAACATTCGCTCAATTTTGTAATAGTTAAAAGGGGGTGAAAGGATGGTCCATTTTTGACCGTTGTAATGAAAAAAGGAATCGAGCAGGATTGCAAATTGTTCACGCATTAACAACATCTTGAACGAGATCCTACAAGTCTCTGACACCATTATGAAATGTTCTGATGGGATTTGTCATGTGAACGTTCATCCAAAATCTACCAGTGTACGGCCAGCTTAGGTTAATTTTGGTAACAGGCACCACAATCTGCCGCTCAGCCTGAATGTGGCCATATGGGAATGGGAAGTGCTTGCTAAAGCTCCGCAAACTCCCAACTTTTAGAAACAACTGGATAGTAAATTCAGGATGATGAATTGGCAGATCGGGGTGGCCGGAGAGGGCAAAGCTGCCGCTTGAGGGTTTTTTTTTGCTTCAGACAGTAAATTAAATAGGAAGTTTGATCTGAGCATTATGAAATAAAGGACTACTAAGTTTCTTTGTAGTTTTCGGGCAAATAATCTTCACAGTGAAATGACACCAGGGTTGGGGTTGAACTGGCATTTCTGCTCTGACCTAATGCCGATGATTAGATTAGTCTTTTGCAGTATTGAGCTCCACAAGCCTTTTTTTGCAATAATTATCAGCAGTTGTCCGCAGCTCCTACAGAGATCCCTCACACCGAGCTGGCTTTACATTTCATAAAACCGTGGAGGACGAGTTCTGCAAGGGGGCGTTCAAATAAAATCAATTTTATTGTCCTGTTAAGAAGTATTAATAGAACAGTTTCAGCTACAGGAGTCTTAAAACTCCTTTCTATTTGTTTAGTGGATGCTACGCCTTCAATTCTTTTATTTCTTCAGCTGACAAAAAAGGTTGTCTTAAGACCACAATCTCCCCCGGAAATCCTCTCATCTGCAGATCCACCGACAGCTAGTGACCATCATCACTTATAGTAAACCATCACAAACTCAGGTGATTCAATACGAGATATAGAACGATTTTAAAAACTTTAAATATAAAAACACTGGAATAAAATTGATACAAAGTCATTAGAGCTTGTCGGGTTATTTTCCAGCTGGTGAGATTTTCCTTCATTACCTGTCTTGAAGACACAACAGAAAATTAAAGAAAATGTTACCTAAGCCAGGGAAATTCCCGTTTTAGACCGGTGTCACCAGTGAGGGGAGGAGAGAGAAAATGAGTAACAGAGAGAAAGGGGAAAAAAAGAATGACAGAGAGAAAGTGAGATGAGGTGTAGAGCGACAGTGAGAGATGAGGAAGAGGAGAGGAGGAGAGGCAGAGAGAGAGAGAGAGAGAGAGAGAGAGAGAGATGGGAAAGAGAAGAGGTGTGGAGAAGGAAGAGAAGAGGTGTGGAGAAGGAAGAGAAGAGGTGTGGAGAAGGAAGAGAAGAGGTGTGGAGAAGGAAGAGAAGAGGTGTGGAGAAGGAAGAGAAGAGGTGTGGAGAAGGAAGAGAAGAGGTGTGGAGAAGGAAGAGAAGAGGTGTGGAGAGAGGCGAGGAAGAGAAGAGTTGGAGAGAGAGAGAGAGAGAGAGAGCTAGAGAGGGAAGTACAAAAAGACGAGGCAGAGGAGAGAGAGAGAGGGAGATGTGGAAAAGGGAAAAGAAGAGGGAGAGAGGGATGAGAAAGAAGAGTTAGAGAGAGAGTAGGAAGAGAGGATCTGCAGATGGGGAGAGAGCTATGAGGGAGAGAGCTATGAAGGAGAGAGAGAAAGAGAGAAAGAAATGAGGAAGACAAAAAAGATCATGGAGCGAGAGAGCGAGACGAAGCAGAGAAGATGTAGAATAGAAAAACTAACCAAAAAAATGAGAGATAGAAAATAAGAGCAGGTAACATAAAAAGTTTCGGATACCTGCGGACACAGAACAATGATTTCACTGATACACTAAACCTGTTTTAATCCCAGAACGGACGGCGAGATGCCTTCATACCTTTAACAATGAATCAATGCACAGAGGTAATATTGGGAAGCTGTTTCTAAGCTCTCAGTGCCGCGATCGATAAGGTATTGATTGAACCTTCCGCTGCGAAATGTGCGTCAGAAGATAGAAATGAATAAAACATTTCTCAGGAAGCCATCAGCCGGCATTGTGACAGGTGCACTCTATCCGCTCCGAAAATTGCTTTCAGTTACTTTTTTTTTTTTTTCCTTTCTTGGATTTCATTAATAACTCTACTAAAGTCGGCGCCATGCCGAGCTAAAAATATTGGCGTGTTCGACAAAAGCCGCTCTCCTATTATTAGACCACTGAGCCACCAATACTCCATCTATCTACAATGATGGCAATCAGAGGGATGGAGCCGCGGTGCAGAAAGCTTTTCTCTGCCAAGCACAAGAACAAACATGTCTGATGGACGTCTAACTGTCAGACAAGATGACAAGCTAAGGCGATAAACATACATTTCTTTTAATGATAATTTTTCAACACTTTTTTCCCCCTCGCACTGCAAGGGTTAACTGCTCGTTTAAAAAAAAGTTATACTCACCCGAACCTCCGAGTTGGCAGTGCTCCCTCCAGCACGTCGCCTCCTCCACTGCAGTGATGGTACGACCCTGGGCGTCCTCACATCCAATGCACTGTATTGAACGCGATGACTTGAGGAATCCTAGACCGCTGCAGAGGAGGGGGAGAGACACTCTAGGGATCGGTCCAAGAGTTGGGCAGCTCGTTTTTTTTGTACACGTTATAATCCACATTTTAGGCCTGAAACTTACTTCAAACCACCAAAACATGATATATTTTCTGAACGCTAAGACCTTGTAGAACAAAATGTCGGCAATTGCAAATTTTTTTATGTTGCACGATATTAGCGCAACTCTATCAAACCCCAAAATTTAGTGATAAATGCACTTAATTAAATGTAGTGCCCCCAAAACACTATAAAATACCCATTATTTGTAAAACATAAAAGATGAGGTTACAAGTAAACAGATACCTAACATGCCCAGGTTAAAAATTGTGTGCATCTGTGAGACGGCTGCAGAATTCAGTACCCCAAAAAGTCCATAGACGACGCTTTAATAGCCCCTACTGGTCATCAGTTTAGAGATATGCATAAATATTGGCCCTAGAATTATTGCACTCACTCCGGCGTGCATGGCGGTACCCAACATGTGTAGCCCAAACGACGTTTTGGTACGTAGGCGCACCTGACGTGTGTTTACGTGAACACATGCGTGCTCGCAGGGGACTTTAAAGTTTTTTAACATTTATTTTTTAAACTTTTTATTTTTTACTTTAATTGCTATCACATAGGGGGGGCTTAAAAGTCCCCCATGTAATAGCATATTGGTGGTGACAGGTCTTCTTTTAAGGTGATATTGGGAGTCCAAAAAGACCCCTAGTATCACCCTTCCACTCTAAATAAGCTATTGAAGTGCAGATCACAGGCTTCAGGAGCCGAGCAATGACAGCTCAGGGACCGCAAGTGATGCAATACGTGTCGCTTCCGGTCCCATAGAACGGCGAGATCGGTGAACTGACCTACCGAAATATTGGCCCCAGGCCTGCAGGAGGGGCAGCAGAGCCCGGGAAACACAGCGGGGGTGTCGGGCGGGAATTTTACCGGCCCATAGAAGCAATCTGATGGCAGCTGAGCTGCCAGAATCGCTTTTAGAGCCCATTCACCAGGTCGGTATCGGATCAGCACGGTTACCGCGCTGATCTGGCAAGGGAGTTTTGGGGAGTGCAATTAAAAACGCCCCAAACCTCACTGATCAGCACTGCTATAGTGCAGGGAGCAGTTCGGGCGGGGGGGCGGTTCGGATCGCGTGGACCCACGCGGTCACACGAACGGTCCCCATAGCATTGTACGGGATCATTCATGTCGGCGGATCTGTGCGGCCGACCCGCCCCGGTGTGAACGGGGTCTTATTGTAAAGCCGACGGCCAGCTTTATAATTGTAAACAGAGTCCCGGCAGCTGTCTGTTTAAACGGGCCCTCTGCCAATGACATACTATGTACATCACCGGTTGCTAAGG